GATGAGTGGAAGCGCCTCCCGGATTGGAATGGATTTGGAACGAGTTTAGCTTCCGCGATTCCCACGTGTTTTAGGTCGCGGTTGCTATTGCGGCATCGCGGAGAGCAGATCCAGGCGAGGAAAAGGAAATTGCAAAGCGTTGGTTCACCTCTTGCCTTTTTGGTACAGTAAATATCTTATCGGTCGGACTTTTTGCGCCATTGCCGGAACAAGACCGAGGAGGGAAAGAGAGAGACTAGACTAGACTAAAGTTGCCCGAAGCTGGGGAAAAATAGGATCTGATCCCGACAATTGCCCCTTTCAGATCGCACCGAGTCAACGAGCGAATAGGAGGAGAAGATGGAGGGGTGTGGATCTTACAGGAGTCTTCAGTGGTAAAGACCGCTAGAAGCTCTGGAGATCAAACAACCCGTCAATCAAATCAATTAATCGCGTGGCAACGCGGGTGAGCGAGTCGCGTAGGGCTTCACTCTTCTCACATGTGAAGTCCATCTGCCACGCGATTGACAGCCTGGCAGCTTAGACGTTTCATTAACGCTGCTCAATGCATCAACGGAGTCACCGCGAGTCTGAGGGTTGGGATGAGCGTCTTCCCAAGCTCTGGTAGTTTCACGAATGAATCGCAATCAATTCCTGTTACCCCTAGAGATGCGACAAAGTCTCGAATCCGTCATTAGACATGTCTGTCTTGTTTCTAATGACTGTCGCAGATGATAACAAGTTTTGCTTGTTCTTAGACTCTGCTTCTGCTTCCGGCCCGGCAACAGTGATGCTTAGACTGTTCATTCTTGGAAATTGATGCGATCCCAAAGCAAATCTCTGATACCGTACTGTACTGTAGCGATTCAGCAAACTGCTGCCAAGGCACACCCAGATGTCACTGCGATTTGGGGACGCCACAACGTGGTGAAGCGCCGCCTACGCTGCGACTCGCCGCAACAGATTACCTATTTCGTTGAAACCTTAAACAGATCCCTTTTGCAAAGGATCGCGATTCCAGATTTCTATTACAGTAGGAGTCTTGACTTCCAGTATGAAAAGATATCAATATGACGTCCTACACGCCGAAAAGTGATGCGTCGCCTCTAATATCAAGACCCATCTCGTTGACTATGTACAAATGCAGCAATAGCAATACGAAAGCGATTGTGGCTTTCTACTTTTACGTGTTGCACCCTCGGAGATGATGTCGTAGGCTGGTGATACAGTACTGGACAGCCTGTGGTTACAGTTACACTACAGTACAGTACTCATGCTGGGGAGCTAGGAATAGCATCAGGTACTCTACGGTACTCTACTCTACTGTAGTATTCGCATTACGGAGGCCGCGGCTGATTATTGATTACGCATCGTGTTCCGTATCGCATTACGGTATCTGACCTGAGATTGGCCCGGATCAGTCAACTCCGAATACTGTACAGTTGAACAACTCACGGAATCATTGAGTTGAGCCGATTCTCGTGACAAAACCCGCCTTGGCTTCCATGGCCCCCCTCGAATTGTACTGTAACAATCCAACACTTGGTAAGCCACATCCTATCGTTTCCTGCAGCATCTCATTTGTACAGTATCGGGGGCTGAGGCCAAGGCTGAGACTGAGGCTGCTGAGGCGATGACGACGATGGTCAGCCAACATTACAGACTTACCTTGCATGGCAGCGCCTCGTCATCTGCTCAGGGATCATGATCACGTTATGGTAATCCGGGGTAACTGTAAAACACTGGAGCTGTACTGTAGTTTCAACCTTGTGATCCAGTTGCAGTACTGTACCTTGTTGTTATTGTCTGTGAGTAATTAATATACAGTAGACCGGTTATTCGCCATTGATAAACAACGAAACGATATGCTATGCTGTGCCTCGTTTGGTTTGCTCCGGTGGAGGGGAGGTGAGTTATGATCGACCATGATGAGCATGTCACTGAGCGACAAAGGCGTTATGATAATCTCATGTCGAGAAATCATGATAGAGTATAGTAAAGTAGTCATGCAACGAAAAACGTTTAATTAATTTCATGACAGGAATTTCTTTTCTAGTGCCCCTTTGCGAATGCCGTCATACAAACGAAATAAACTCTTCTTCTCATAGACTCCCTCCCTCCCTTCCAGATGAGTGCTGATGGTAGTGTATTTTCCAGAGTTACTGTAGCCCAACGTTGTGGTGTTTACTGTAGGTATCTCGTGCTGTGTTGTGTTGTCCCTGACATGGAAGGTTCAAGTGATAACGAGTGGGGGTGAAAGTGGTCGTGGGGTTTAACCAGAATCCGATATCGCGTCAGTCACAAATCATCTCATTAATCACTTAAGAAGCCACATCACATCGCCCCGTGTTTGCTATCGTTTCAGGCACAAAAACAAAAACAATTAATTAATTAAAGCAATCGCTCCTGCAGCCTCATAAGCCTCATTCTGATTTAAGACTGATCTGAAAGTTACCTCTTTCGTTCCCTCATCTCATTTCATCTCATCTCATCTCATCTCAATCACAAGGTCGAGTTTGGTGTTTCATTGGATGTGATTATGCCGTGACAGCGCCATGCCGTTATTTTAGTGCAGCAAACTGCCGGCCAAACAGCTGAAAAGAACGGTCAGAGCAATCAACAGCCCTGTCGAGAATGTCCATCTGATTTCTCACTCTCAGGTGTCAAGAGCGTCGAATGTTAGGCTCGGATCAGGTGCTTGCCGTACCGTACCGTGGTCCGTACCGCACCGTCCCGATCATCTTGCATCTGTAGGTTACTTTTACTTTTGATCCCTTGTCTGGTCTTGTTTACTCTTCTCCCATTCACATTTCCTCTCATAATTTCCCCCACGCAACTGAAGCAAACTCAAACTCAAACTCAGACTCACCAGCATCTGTCAGCCAAGAGATCGCTACACGAGGGACGATCTTCTAGTTCCCGCCTTGCTTTTGACCTACCTTGTCTATTGTGTTTGTATACCATCAATTAAAGTCTTTGCTTTGACTGTATCTTACGTCTGTGCCCCCGCGGCAGTAGTTGGCTTTTCCGGTTGATGGTCTATTGCTAATCGATTGTGTATCTACTGTATCTGATCTGATGGTTTGATCATTGCGTATTAGGTAGTCTAACTAATTATATGTCCTTCCGTATTGAAGAATTGTTTGTGTGTTGTCATCCTGCCATATCATGTTTTCATAAGCGGTCAGTTGAGGTCTGTCTTTTGATGCTGGGTAGAGAAGAGATAACAGCACGCCCTCTGGTCTAACCAAACAAGACCAAACTATGCGTGTGCTCGCTTTGACTGACTGCAGTCTGCATTCTGCGTCTGCAGCCTTGCTGGCTTCCATCCTTCCCACATGTCTACTGCCTGGGTACCTACCTGCATGTGCAGTGCGTCTTGACTCTTGATTTTATCCTACACCGATCAATGTGTTTCATGATTCTGCTGTGTCAGAGACTCAAAACTTGGCCTACACCGACTACGATACTTAGCAGCATACCGCCTTTTGAAACCGCCATCCTCTTACTTGCAGCATCTAACTTGGTTGATATCCGCCTGCCTGCATGCGTCTAGGCACTTTCTCAGTGTTAGAGTCGCACAGCTGCAGTACATTAATCAATTAGTTAATTATTACATGCGCTGGCTCATAGTTGGCGCGCATTCATCCATACAGTCCCTCATCTGCCCGTTCGTACACGACAGCAAACCATATCTGAGGTGGATGTTGTCCCTTGCAGCTACCCTTGGCCTTGACTTTGACAGCATGTTCAAGCGAAGTGAGTCATAGTGGAAAACTTTTAATTGATTTGTGTGACGTGACTGTAGGGGGTGTCATGACTTATCCGAGGAGTGCTTTTTCATAGCTGTTGCAGCTTTCGGTTGCGGTGAGGCCATCTACAAATGCCCAACCAATATTGTTGAGGTGAGTTATCGTGTGAGGGACAACTCACCGTCGCTCAGACAAACTTGTTCTGCCTGGTCTTCTTCACCGTGACAAGCCACCTTGATCCCGGCCGGTACTGGCATTATCTTTGGAGTCATTGATATTGGAGTTGAGCCAATTCGCTCCAATGTAAGCTTTAGGGTAAGCTGCTTTCGATTATCACCATGTATATACATTTGATGGTGAAAGGATGAGCACGAATGCGTACTTCTACTCGTAGTGATGCTCTTAATATTTTGAGCCCGGTGATTCATTCATTACTGGGAGGCATTCTGTCATGTTGAGTATTACCGTTACCTGCCATCATCATGTGAAGGCCAAAATCGTCTGTGACAGGATTTGACTGAGATAGGTCAACCCCAAATCTGTTTGGCTAGCGCCAGACAACAGGTCAAGCCATGTAGACTAGACCATACTGTCTACTTATGACACTATGGTATAATAGCTGTGACTCTACGTGTAGACAACGAAGAATATCGAGAACTCGATTGTCTCCACGGTGACTTCAGCTCAAACTGTGTATATGTAGTGGTAAGAGAAGCGCATACCAATGCAACACAGACAGAATATCCAGTCTTCGGATCTTAAAGATGGGGAACCGATGTGTTGGAGTAATTCTAAAATGCTCCCCAATCTGTAATGTGGTTATCACACAAGAAATGAGACCCAATTATCATTCTATTCTTGATGGACGTGAGTACTGACCGAGTTGCTCTCTAGCGAAAAGGGTATTACAGGAAGCCTTCTTCGAACTTCTAGTATCAGGTCAAATAGCGTAGCATAAGTCTGCCAAAGATGATTCGAGAAAATATGCCGGTAGTTGGTAACCCAAAGAGTAAGTCGAGGTTGTTGAAAGTAGACTCGGACGATGCTGACAGCATTCAGAGCAAAAGTGAAACGTGGTTATATATCTCGTATCGCGATGAGAACTAGGAGAACACGCAAGATCTCATAGCTTCAAGGTATTTATAGTATAGAATGTATGCAAAAATTGCACATACGCCAAACTCCCCCAACTCCTTCCACGATGAAGAGCAACTGGCACCTTCAAGCAGTAACCAACAAACACGCCAAGTCGCAACACCAAAAGTCTCATTAACTGCGAAGCGCCTCTAACCGGTTGCGCATCTGATCCATCATGGCCTCGGCATCCTCTTCTTCCTCCTCCTCTTCCTGGGGCTTCTGAGGTTCTGGCACTGGCGCGACAGGCAGACTGGGTTGCTTGCGATCCTTGAGGACTTCTCCCAGGACCTTTTCCACCTCGCCCTCTGCCTCCTCATCTTCCATAAGCATATCTCCATCGGCCGGCAATGTATCCTCAACCATCTCCTCGATAACGCCCGCCTTCATCAACTCTACGCTCAGCTCTTGCATAGTGCCTGCTAGTTCCGGTAGGCGGATAAGTGAGTTAACATCCTTCATAATACCTACGCTCGCTCGGATGGATCCCTCGATCTTTCGCACGGCAAAAGCCTCGTTAACCTGCATCTGAACCGACGAAAGTTGCGCCTTTGACGTGACAAGGCGTTGTGATTGCTTTCGGGCGCGGACGAGCTCACGAGCAAAGTCGCGAACTTCCTGCTGGGCTTGCTTCGAGCGGGACGGATCGCGCTGGCCTCGCTTATCGGCTTGGATGATGAGGTTCTTCGTCTTGGCCTCGACTTGCTTAACGGTCTGGATGTCGCGATCGAGCTTGCGCATGTTTTGCCTCATCAACGCATTGCATTTGCGCATCTGGATTAAAGAGTCATGTCAGGCGGAGGACACAGTAAAAGAGGCAGAGTTGATTGTGCATACCTGAGCCTGGGGATCAGGCTTAGCGAAGAGGGATTTGAATGTTTCCATATCGACGGTTGAATATACAGAAATGCCCGCGCCAATGACGCAACCGTGGAAATGATCAGATGGTGGAGTAGGCGAGTTGCGTGTTTTTGTATTCTAGGGGCTGCAATTTAGCATGCGAGGCAGTGTCGGTAGGTTTCGGGGGCTGCAAGTTGGATCGCGACGATGTCGAATTAGCCGTAGCTAGTTGTTAGATGATGTTGGTTCATGGTGGTGAGGCTCGCCTGTGCAAGCCTCGAGGCTGAGTAGGCGTACAGGACCGAGGTTTAATTGGTCCCGCCGGTAAGCAATGAAAAAGGTACAAAGTACAGGCCTTGTTCAGGTAGAAGGACCACCAATTCGGGGTCCAGCAGAACCTGGAGCAGTCCGCGCAAAGCTCCAGCTCTCAACCTGGAACCTTGCTACGCAATGTCCCAATTTTCACACTTGAGATTCTCTTAGGGATTTGATAATTGGGCCCTCAAAGACACCGTAAGCACTTCCATTTGTTCGCCAAGTTGAGTGCCATTAATGTTTGGCACAGTTACTGATATTCGCCGAGCCTGCTTACCCCGCCATTGGATCTTCATGCTGGCCGCGTGTAGGTGTTAGAGTGAACTTATTAGGCTCCATGACATGAATACCTCTTCACAGGACAGAGTTTTGGCGACTACGTATTTTAAGCCCCGTTAAGAATTTGGTTTGAGTGATGGTTATATCCATCCATATCAGGCCTGAAGATATCTCGTACTGTACCTGCTCATGTCCTACCTAAGGTATCGCCAACCTCCATTCAAGGCGACAAAGCTCCAGTACCTTCTAGGAGCTCCAGCCCATTAACAGTGGGGAAACACTGACCAATTCAAGGGACAAACGTCAGAGTGGGCACCTTTGCGAGGCGATAGTGTATACCTCTCATACCACTGAACTGTCTGGTTAAACTAAGTACCTCTTGATCAATTGCCCCTCCATTCTCTCTTGTTCTTAGACATTCTATACCATCCTACCTGTGACCAGGCAAACGTGCAAGCCTCACGCCTACCTGCAGAGCATTCATACGGTAGCAAAGCCCGGAGCCTAGAGCAGCTACAGAAAGCAGACGAGCTAAAACTGCACCTCCTCCGCTCCGCCCACCAAAAACCCATCCAGCTCGTCTCCATTCATCTTGCATCATCTGAATCTTTCGCCTTTCTTCTTATCTCTTGTTTTTTCCCCCTCCTCCACGACCAACTTCTAACTCTACTTCACGATATTCTTTAAGATACCCTCAAATCTCCCTATACACAATGTCCGACACTGTTTACCCTGAAGGTATGTCGCTGTCATTCATATAGCCTTGTCCTCGTATTCCCCTCCTCTCCCCGATGCCGCTCTGGAGACCTACACTGCCAACAATTTTCTTGGTGGTCTAAAGCTCGGTCGCATCTTGCGCACCTGTCCAATTCCATCTGAAGCGCATTCGCTAACTCCTCTCTAGTCCTCTGGGCTCAGCGATCTTCGGTCGCCGATGCTTCTAAGAACTTCATCTACCTCACCATCTCCGTCCCTGATGTGCCCAAGGACAGCATGACCCTCGACCTCCAGCCCACCAAGCTCAACTTCACCGGCACCTCATCCACTCTCAAGAAGAAGTATCATGTCGAGCTTGAGTTCTGGGGCGAGATCGACCCCGCAGAGAGCAAGATCAACCACACTGCCAAGAACGTTGAGATAAAGCTACAGAAGAAGGAGCTCAAGGAGGAGTACTGGCCCAGATTGCTCAAGGACTCCAAGCGCGTCCACTTCCTCAAGACCGACTTCGACAAGTGGGTTGACGAGGACGAGCAGAACGAGGCTCCTGAGGACGACTTCTCTCAGTTCGGCGGCATGGGTAAGTTCTGCACTCGAGCAAGCATCAGAGACAACAAACTAACACACAAATAGGTGGCATGCCTGGCATGGGCGACATGGGAGGTATGGGAGGCATGGGAGGCATGGGTGGTATGGGCGGTGATTTCGGCGGCATTGATTTCTCCAAGCTGGGAGGTGGTGCTGGCTTCCCTGGTGCCGAGGGTGCTGGTGACGAACTTGACGACGATGATGATGACGACGACATGCCCGCGCTCGAGGGCGACGACAAGAAGGACGCCGCTCCCGCTGCCGCCGCTACTGAGAAGAAGGATTAGATCCAGCAAATATGATTGTTTGACATTGTCAAAGGCGAGCATTTTCTGAACTACAGTACAGGATCAGGCAGGGTATTTGGCGTTGTGCCTATCAAGGCAGGCTTATTTCTCGGATATGTAGTACAGACTACTGCATTGCCTGCTTCGATATGGAAGCAAAAAAGATGAAAAAACTGTTAAGCCCATGACTTGTTCACCTACCTACCTATTCAAGAGTGCCTCGTGAGTGTTGGAACAAGGTCTGACCTGAAAACTTAGTCAAGGGAAGGCACTCTATTCAGTCCCCGTGGATCCGATGTGTTATCCTCAAGGTGATTTGAACACCGAGACAGCAGACTAGGCAATGTAAAACGTGAACGAGCTTTTGGGATATCGATTTTTATATTCCTAACGTAGGTTATATCATAACTTCACAAACCAATGATACAAAAATCAAAATCGAGAACTGGTCATATTCCACCTATTGTACACTCATTGGCCGAGTCCTGCAGGACCAAGCTGTTAAATTACCAAGCACTAAAACTATAATCGCATTCTGTTGCAAGCCACCAATAAAAAGATCAGCTTGTTCTTGAGGTAGTTCAATATTATTCCTTCATCGCTGTCATCGCTACGCCTTACTTAATTTACTAGGGACCATGGTTAGCATCATCTAGGCAACATGAATTGAGCGGCACATACGGCGATCTCATCCATATCAGCATCACCAGTGGCAGCCGGCGCAGGTGCAGGCGCAGCGGCAGTGTTGGCGTTAGCGTCAGGGGCAGGAGTGACAAAATAATCGGCCATCTCCGAGTCGAGTTCCTCTTGAGTCTTCTTCGCGGGACGGCTGTTGCGACCACGGCGCTTCTTGTTACCAGCGGCCTTAGCAGTGCCCTTGGCGGCGCCGGCGTTGTGCTTGTCAGCAGCAGCGGATTTGGGTTGAGCCTTGGCCTGAGCCTTGGGCTGACTGTTCTCGTGTGAGATGGAGTTATTTACACATGAGCTTTTCGACTTACGTAGTACGTTCGGCAAGAGTCTTGGCGGTAGGGATAACCTTATCAGCCTGAGCGGCTCCAACAACGATCTCAATCTACTCGCATTAGTTATATTTCACGCCAGGAACGAACAGCATACCTTGATAGGTCGGTTGTCGACGAGAAGACCATTCAGTTTCTGGAAAGCCTTGCTAGCGCCATCAGATTTGTGGAAGGTGACGTTGGCGATGCCGCGGCTTTGTGAGTTGGGGCCGTAGACAAGCTCAACTCGCTTGATGGGCCCAACAGATTGGATAAAGTACTCCTATCAAGGGAAAAGCGTTAGTATTCCGAAGTATATGGTTTAACAAATTCGTCGTTCCGTTTTCGAGCCTCGGTCGTTCCAGTTCCGGGAGAATGTTACATCGCCGAGATTTGGTAGTCGAAATAGTTGAACAGCCAGCAAGCAGAACAGCGAGACACAGCCAGATTTCCCGATCTAACCCCCGAGGATTGAGATCAATTAAAGCATACGAGACCGCACCCACATGGCTCTCACTGCAATGGCCCACTACTCAGGAACCCAGCCCAAGTTTACTACTGCTCAAGTAGTATCCCGATTGCTTTGCTGGAAAATAAACGCGCAACCCATCGTTTCCCATTCAGGGGCTTGCTCAAGCCGACATGGCTTCATTTTCCCAAAACCTTCGAGGGGTAATCTGCTGCATGTGCTCACTGCTTGCTCGCTGAAGTTGATACGGAATTCCAGACAGGCTCATTCCGAAGAGTCCGCTAGCCGTTGGCTGGGAAATGTGCATATCGTCATGACAACCTCCATCCTGCAGAGTCGACGCTACATAGGCGAGGAGCGCTGACCAGGCGCTTCCTTCAAGATCATTGCGTGACAAGGATGTTCTCAACTTCCGACATGGTACCATTTCCAGGTTTTACCGAGTACAGGAAGGAGACTAGCCTTAGGGACGTGGAAGACATGAGTTGATCAGCAAAAGAGACTGATTCCAGTCGCTTCATGCCAGTTTATACAAGCTCTCAGACCGTCTTTAGATCTCGAATATTCCACATCCCCTTAGACTAAGTGTCTGATAGCTCCGAACCGACAGGCTGAATCGACAAACCAGTCGGATTGACGCGTCGAAGGCAAAAAATAAGAGCGGCGAAGGAGAAAAGGTCGAACAAAGTCCGAGAGCCTCAAGAGCCACAGCGGAAACATACCTTGATCTGCTGCTCCGAGACATCCTTGGGCTGATAAAAATGTTAGCACGAGTAGGTTATCAGCGGGCTTGCCGAGTACCTACCAGATTGCTGACCATGATCTTGCTATCACTGTTGGTAGGAGCGGCCTTGGTAGGGACAGGCTTTGCGCCAGCACCACGCGCGGGCTTGGTGTTCTTCTGAATTCCACCAACAGGTGCGGCCGCGGCAGGGCGTCCTGTAGAACGGCGCGGGTTGGAGCGACGGCGAGCGCTTCGGCGCTGGGCCTGGGTGATGTCGTCGAGAGCTTGGTCGAGCTTGCCAGACATTTTGACGTTTAGTTTATGAACCGTGGTTTGTGGAAATATGGTTTGAGCTGACAAAGTCGGTCAAATCAGCAGAAGGTATTGAACGACAGGTGTAATTGTTGTCCAAAGCGCGAAAGTCGCGATGAGAAGAGAGAATAATCAAGAGAATGTGGTCGCGAGAACTCCAATACTAAATCTGCTAGAGTTGGGACGGAAGAAAAGGCGCGCAAGAATAATTAGAGCGGCCTTGTAGAGAAGAGAATTACTTGGGCTGGGTTTGAGAAGTGGGCGAGAATGTGAGGGAAGAGAGGTTTGATGGTTGACGAAGAGAGAAGGAGAGGAAGATGGAGACAGGGAGGGAGGAAGGGGAAACATAAAGGCACAGGAAAATATGGGGTGGGTGCTGCCTCCTGTTGCTGTCAGCTGCCTACTTACCCAACCTAACAAGCTCAATGCGCGCAGGCGTGAGTGTGGCGCCCCGAGCAAGCTAAACCTTTTCAAGTAGCGCTGAGCCTCATTGATCAAAGCATTGGGTGCAAAATTCAATTCACCTTTTCGCTCTGCTAAGTTCGGGCAACGTGATCGAGTTATTTAGTCTCGCCTCCACAACGGCAGAATTCTGTCATGCATTAAAGGGACAGCTTGCAAACAATGTTTATTGCGGATCAGTCCTCCATGATTGCTGTAGGAAAGGGTGCCTTAGGTACTACCTATAAATGCATCTACGCGAGCCAAACTTGTTTCGTTTTCCAAGTACTTTACGAGGCAATTCTAAAGCGACACCCTTTATGAAAGCTGACCGGAAATCTAACTTATGCTGAACCAAATTAGCCTGCCGATTGTTCAACTTGGTGCGCTGTCAAGGTTAGAACACGCAGTGAATGTTGAAAATTGAGCGGGTATTGTTCGAAGTTGTCTATTGAGTATAATCGATACCCCCCAACGTCGAATATCCATAGCCCCTTATCTGGTCGTATCGAACCCAAGCTCCGTGTTGTGAATACGTGGTTTTAATTCTTCGAAGACTTCTCCTGAACGCCGGGCAGTACTTTGCTGCAATTTGAAAACCCCATTAATGAAATTAAAGGATGCACAGTCATCGTATATGCGCACTCATAGCGACTTTGTGGCTTCCTCCTTGCCACCTGCAACTGTGCCTTTCGGAGCATTGACTTCGAGGAAATGGTAGACGACGATAAGAAGCATTGCCGCGACGCCAAAGAAGATGGCCAGTTGGTAGAGTTGACCGTCGGTAATCATGTTTGCGATCGAGGCAGGTAACGAGGTAGGCCTAGAAAGCTTGCGATCCACGATTAGTGCTTGCCCATGAGCGAGAAATTAATATTGTATTGCAGGTACTCACAAACTGTGGTATTTGGGTCAGCTCTTGGAGTATTGTTGAGCTTTCGCGATTTCTGCGTGATCTGAGGCAGTGTTAAGGAAGGGTGCACACGAAGCTGTAGATGCTACGGAGAGCGAGCTTCAACTGGCCAGATGGAGCTCTAATTGTCTCGTTCGTGGTGGAGGTACGTACACTATCGCCGGGATTCTGTCTTAGCGTGACCCGCAGTTGAAAGTATCCCCACTGTGAGATATGATTGTCTTTGAGAGACTTTGGCGAAGCCCTACGCAATTGATCTCCAGATTCCAATCACGACAAATCGTGCTTGAAGCAAGTCTAGATAAATTTCAATGAGCAAGATGTATTGAACAGATTTCTGCGACAGGACTTTCTAAAGAAGTCCATATGTCTACAGTGACCACTAATCTGGCCTCATTGGCTGGCAGTTGCTCACTAAGAAAAGTCTTGAACGCCCAACACGTGACTAGCCTGTGACTTCATCCTCCACACCAAGGCAGCCCAGCCCACCAACTATCAGCAATCTTCAACATTCGTCTTTTTTTTTCCCCAACCCAGACTTGGTGGCTCTGCCTTGTACCATCACCAAAACGAAACCGGGGGTAAACACGATCACAGAACACCTCATAGACCAGCTCGAACGTTCAAAAAGCCATCGAACTTTCTTTTTGTCTCCCACGATTACCCCGCCACCAACCGTCCATCATGCCTCCCAAGAAGGGCAAGGAGCCTCAGCCTAAAAAGGCGACCAAGACGGTCGAGGATCGAACTTTTGGTATGAAGAATAAAAAGGGTGGTGCTGCTCAGAGAGAAATTGGACGTATGCAGGCAAACCTCAAGAATGCTGGCACGATCGAGGAGAAGAAGAAGCAGGCCGAGAAGGCGGCTCGTGAGCGTGAGAAGAAGGCGGCCGAGGACGCCAAGAGAGATATGGAGGCAATGATGAATAGACCGGCCCAGATCCAGAAAGTGCCTTTTGGAGTCGACCCCAAGACGGTTGTGTGTATTTTCTACAAGAAAGGCAATTGTGAGAAGGGCAAGAAGTGCAAGTTCTCGCACGATCTTTCTGTCGAGCGCAAGACAGAGAAGAAGAACCTGTACACCGATGGACGAGCAGAAGAAGAAGAGAAGAAGAAGGTCGAGACATCAGCAGACTGGGACGAAGACAAGCTCCGAAGTGTCGTCTTATCAAAGAAGGGCAACCAGCAAACCACTACCGACAAAGTATGCAAATACTTTATCGAGGCCATTGAGGATGGCAAGTATGGTTGGTTCTGGATTTGCCCCAATGGAGGAGACAAGTGCAAGTACAAGCACGCTCTTCCACCTGGGTATGTTTCAGTTTTCAATGCTATCCTGGTAGCCACTAACAGTATTCTAGATTTGTTCTCAAGACCAAGGAACAGAGAGCAGCAGAGAAGGCACTTATGGACAAGTCACCGCTTAAGACTCTGACGCTTGAGGACTTCCTGGAGTCAGAACGACACAAATTGACAGGAACTCTCACACCTGTGACGCCAGAGTCTTTCGCTAAATGGAAGAAGGATCGCATGGACAAGAAGGCCGCCGAGGAGCAAGCCCGAAAGGCCAAGGAGAACACCGGCCGTGCTTTGTTCGAGAGCGGAAAATGGGGTGATGACGAGTCCGAAGACGAAGATGATGATGATGTCTGGAACTTGCAGAAGCTTCGTGAGGAGACAGAGGGTATCCGTTCAAAGAAGGAGGAGGAACGCCTGGCAGCAAGCCACGATACTCCTGACAACGGTACCACGGGCGAAGCGACACCGGCAGAAAATACCCCAGCCGAGGCGGCTTCCGGCTCTTGAGTCAAGAGAGACAACGACGTATGACACATGTAGTCTAGAAGACCCAGGATCTGCGATTTCGTCGAGCTCTCTTCATCTTGGCTTGAGCTCGCCGGGGAACAGACCATCCAGAGGCAAGCCGAGCCCTGCTGCAGACCTCACATCAGTGAACTCGCGAGTGAGAGATCTGAGCAGGTCTACCATGGCGATCTCGTCATCTTGCGAATCCTCATGAGAGGAGGGATGACGTCTTTCATCCGAGTAGAATACATTACAGTATCAGTACTTATAACAACATGCAAACCGAGCGCTAATGGCCCAATCCCTGATTAAATTGCAAGTTGCACGTGGACTGTGCAGAGAATGGCTTGAATGGTAAAGTCATGCTATGTGTTTATCATTCAACATTACCAGAAATGCGTCCACGAGGCGCAGTGAGACTCAAGCGAGTCAGCTACTGCTTCTAGGTTTGATGAACAACGGTGGAATTTTTGTGGCTGGAATGAAGCGGATGAGTGCATGAGGATGTGTAGATCATGGTATTTTTGAGGTTGTGATGGTGGTTCGTCGCCCGCAAAATGCAACTCTGCTCTGGGATGAGTGAGGTAAATGGGCTTCGTCCAACCCCAACTTGAGTATTGTTTGTAAATGCGGGGTCAGAGCATTTTTAATGGTCATCATTGGATGAGCCGAGATGTTACCTACCCGGACATTGAAGTCCGCTTAATGACATGGGGGTAGGGATGGATTTGGCTACTACTAGGTAATAGAGAGGTACGGGTACTGTAACATGGATGGATGAATATCAGGTTTGTACCTTGTATTTAAGAGAAAAGTAACATAGAAGAAAGAGCCCTCAGATAGAAAGATCATGATGCTATAATTACCTCAAGGTAGATAGACACTTGGTAGTTAAAGAGTTGATAACAGTAGAGGGCTCGATATTGGTACTGCAATGAAACAGTGGCTCGTCAAAAAACATGTGATGGATGAGCCAGCCGCCGGCAGTTAATGCGTCAGATACAGCTCACAGTGGAGTAGGCGGAAAGATCTGGAGCTAGATCAATGCCTGCCTGGGTAGGGATATCTATCTTCAATTGATATGCATGACATTATTTTGCGTGAATGTAATAGAGTGGAAGGGAGTAGATATAATTCATATAAATGAAGATGAAAATGGATGGATGCTCGGACAAGCCCCGTGGTCCCAAGCTTTTGGGAGTGGGCTGTTCCTTCCGAGGATTTTGGAAGTTCGACACCGAGAAAAGAAAGAGCACCAAAAACCGGGAGGCATGAACCCCCGCCTGCCGTGTTTCGTACAGTACCTTTACCTTAGTAGCCAAGGTACCTAGAGTAACTTGACTGTACATAAACTCCTATACTCAATCCCCACCACTGGTCACAGACCTTATCCCTTCATCTTTCATTTCTTAATCATTTCCATCAATTCAGCCCTGGTCAAAGAAAGCTGCGATACATAGTATTGTTTGCTGCCGCTGTCGTCGCCCTCTCCTGCCGAGGGCACCCGGACGCCCGTGCCCGTGCAGAGACAAGCGATACCGACATCCCGCCGCCGTCGCCGCCGCTCCGCCTCCCGCCCTCCGATCTGGGTCCTTTAAACCCACCCATCATCTTTTTCTATTCTCTACACTCAACCGTCTGGTGGTCACCCAAGTCTGAATGGACCCTGCGGCTGTCCGCGAAAGGCCGTGTTTCGACCGCGCCTCCAAATAAAGCTTTAGCTCGATCATACAAATATCCCACCCACCTACTGGCCTCAAAAGCTCATTCTCGTTCGGCGCATCGGTCTGAGGTCTAACCATTCTCGTTCCCGGGAGCGGGAGGAAGCAATGACTACTGGAGCCAAATTGGTTCACCAAGATGTCACAGGCCATCAATCGCAATTGTCGTCACTGTCATCTCCAGCTACAACTTCTGCAATCAGCATGTCTAACGGCGCTGGAGGACGACGCGATGGCGAGACGACGGCGTTGACTGCGACAGGCGCCGCAGTTGCTGCAATACATAAGAATAGCCCCTCCAATCGCTTCGTAAAGCGATACCGGACCGAAATCGCCGCCAGCTCGTCCAGCGTATTCTCTACCCTCGCCGCTTTCCCCCTCGACAGCGTAAAGACGCGCATGCAAACCTACCACTACAAAGGGTTCCTTGACTGCGTTCGCCAGACTTATCATGCAGAGAAGCTTGGCGGCTTCTTTCGAGGTATGTTGCGACTAATTGACAGGGTCTTGCTGGCAGCAAGTGGCTAATTCGATATTGTAGGCGTCACAGCCCCGATGGCAAGCATTACACTTGTTCGAACCGTCTCTTTTTCGATCTATCAACGTGCAAAATACTCATACTCAGGTTGGGTGAAGCGCAATTTTGGCTTCGATATCATTGGTCATGTCAATCGCCACGGCACATACCCGAATCTTTACTCTGTTGCGTGCTTTGGTGCAGCTGGCGCAACCGCTGGCTCTGTCATAACATTTCTCGCCTGCCCGTTCGAACTCACCAAGCTCAGTGCGCAAGTCTCCGTTCTGCTTGCCGAACGTGGTGCTAGTAAAGGCAGTCACGCCGTGGCAGCCAGTTACCAGAATAAGGGTACTTTGCGGACGATGGCCAATATCATCAAACATCGGGGCATTTTTGGGCTATATACCGGTCTCAGGCTTCATCTCCGTACGTGACCCTCGCAGCTCTTGGCTTACGAGACCCACTGACACAACATGTAGTTCGCGATACATTAGGCACGGCCATTTATTTCATGGTATATGAAAGTGGGAAACAGATCGGAAATACTTTGGCCGGCGATCATCCCAACAGTAACAAGGTAGCTGTTGTCGCCGCTGGAGGCATGTGTGGCTTGGTTTCTTGGGCGATGATTTGTAAGTCCAACAACGCTTCAAACGGCAATAATGGATCTCACTGACAAATACAGACCCCATCGACTCGGCCAAGAGCATCTATCAACGAAATTCGTTACTCTATTCAAAGGGCGAAAAGGTCGAACCCGCCCCCAAGATCGAATTCTTCAAGCGCCATATGTATCGCGGCCTTGGTGTTTCTATGAGCCGCTCGTGCGTCGTTAATGCCATCTTCTTCTCGTCATTCGAGTTTGTAAAGAAGCATATTCATCAGATGGACGACGAGAACCGGAGCTGATAGCATCTGGCAGGTGGGTAACAGAAGAATTGTCCTCTTGTGCTCTCGGCGGCCAATTATTCTGACACCTTGACGATGGGTCAGTCGCATTCATGTCAGAACAGAACAAGGAATACGCAACAGCTAAGCGATAAATGGGAATTGCATATGGCGATCTTGGATGGTGGTCAACTACGAACCAAAGGTTTATGGCACGCATGCATTATGAAAGGGCGTTATTGGGATTTACTTAATATTAGTAGTCGACCGATTTGGTAACTGGGTAGCTGGCTGAAAGAAATGGATGATGTGGATGAATACGAATACCTTGAACCGGGAGTTTCTGTAGACCAGAACCCAGAGGCACAGCATGTTGGTAGTCCCCAAAATGCAAGCATCTAGCCTCGGCTTGGAATAACCTTTTCGGTTAATGACATCTGACAAGAAGGACTAGTAGCAGAGAGGCAGTGACACTAAAATTGGAACAGTGCTCGTATATCTTGGTAGGACGTCACGAAAGATGCATGTGGTGGTTAGAAAGCGTGTAATAATTGATCAAGTTAACCCTTTACAAATGTAATCGTCAAGAAGACTAATTATCCCACAGGCTGTTGCTTGAGAGAATGGACCATTTCCTGATCTTCCGTCCTTGACTAAGATTCATCCATCGCCCTGTTCATGTCGAACTTCACTTCTTCTGTTGTCCACCCTGGGCAGCTTTGGCCTCGGTTTGCTTTGTGGCGAGTGTCTTGTCGGTCTTGAGCTGGCCATGGCAATGGCCAAACACAAAGAACACAGCAAGCTTGCGCAAGCACGGTTTCCAGACTTTGTCTCCCTTCCTCTCAACAACTTATACATACTTGGGTCAAGTTTCGACTGTGTTGAAGCAACTGGACGATGGGAGGGATACTACATACATATACAGCACAAACAGCGCAAGTTGTTTCCAGATTGGGAAACCAGAATCCGTTGCTTTCAGTATATTATGTTGCAAGCAGGAGCAACTTTGGTTGTTTGCTTTAACCACCAGGAGCTGCGTTATTGCTATGTGCACTACCAGAACGCCGTGCTTGATGTAGGCAGGTGCCTCATTCTAACCGCCTATGCCCCCAACTCCAAAAAGAGACGGACGTATCATAAAACATGAACCCTACAAGACCTGTTGTATACCCCCGCCGGTATTGAATAGAGCAAAGGCGACAACCCAACTCCGTTTCCACCAAACTTTTGCCGGTAAAGACAACAAGTCTTTACTCCTTACGCAAACACTTTAGCAAAGGTGCAATTCTCGACTTCTTGCTTAGCCCAACACGGTATACAGGCTTGTTAATGATTGATGACAATCCTTTTGAAGGCGTTGAGCCTTTGCTGCCGATTGTTGGCTTCTCTGATTTCTCTTCCTTCTTTGTTGCAGGAGCATCTGAAGTCTTTGATGTGGCATTGTCGTCAATACTGGATATTGATCGTGTCGAAAGGTTGGGGTCTGTTTCCCTTATTGCAGGTCTATCTGGCCCATCATCTTTGAACGAGTCATTGGTATCTTCGTCTCCAGCGAGTTCGACTTTTGTTTCAGTCTCGTCAATTTCTATCTTGGTCCTCTTCTCTGGTTGCACAGCATCTTCAGACAATGAAGCGTCATTGGTCGACAGTGACGGGTCGAGTTTGGGACTTTCTTCCTTGGCATTAACCTGGTCCGACTTTCGTGGCCTGCCACGCTTCTTTTTGGTTTTTGCAACAGACCCATTGACCACTGGCAAGGCTTCCAATGGATCCGTCACAGCTACATCTTCTTCTGCGTGTGCCTTCTTCTTTGGTCGTCCTCTTGACTTCTTTGCCTTGGTTGGTTTGGCCATTTTCTCAGAGTCGTAGTTATCAGACGCAATTTCTTGTATGATTGGTATGTCTGCTTTTTCAGTTTGCTGCAACTCCACAAACTCGTCGTCTGCGAGCTCAGGTGCGGCATCCCTTCTTGCTTGCTCTTGCGGCTTAGTTGCCGTCTCTCGGGGAGGCGAATTGATAGCCGCGATGACGTCAGGAGACGAGTCCCATTGCTGACCTGTGGGCCGACCAATTGTTGCTCGTGGCGGATCCATCACGCTTGAAGCAGGAGGGGGAGGAGCAGTACTCATGAGATATGTTGCATTGCTTCTAGGTGTGTTGACATTGGTGGCCTCTCCGCTCGAAGCTAGATTTTGGATATTGAACTGCCTCACTGGAGGTAGCTGATGATTCTGACTGTAGCTTGAAGGCAATTGCACGCTTTCATACTCCAGTTTCTGCGTATCAGTTAATTGATTTGGGGCGATAAAGAAAGAAGCGCCTTCGTCAACTGGCATCGTTGGTGGTAGCATGCTAGGCGTAGGTGGTGGCTGAGATTCATGATATCCATCCTCATGATCATGGTTGAAAGGTATTGTGACCAAATCGACTTCATTAGAACCTTGGAAAGAAGCCCCTGGATGTTGAACTTTTCTTCGCTTCCTATCGGTTGCAGGTGAAACATCTAGGCGCTCAGACTTGGGCCCCCGAGTCTTTGCCATACTGTTCAACTCCCGAGCATACGGAGGGTCTGTTGCGGAATCAGAGTGTGCCCCTGAACGCTTCAGCTTGATTTTTATCCTTGGTTTAGCAGATCGCTCATCAGGTGAACTTGGTACATCCCATGGGTCGTCCATAACAGCCATGGGTGCCTTTCGCCTGCCTGGTGTTGAGGCCTGAGTCCATTCATATGCAGCGTTCCCATCAGACATCCTCTGCAATCCCGCATTTCCTTGATCCCGCGTAGAAGATGAAAAAGTTTCAACTAATCCCGTCACAGTGCGCTTGAAAGGTGCCGGCGCCGTCATGTCTGAACTTGAGACTGACCGTTGATCTTGGTCATGTGACCCAGCTGTCGGGTCTGGAACAAAGCCTCGAGCTGCATCATTCTGTTCATTGTAAATATTCTGAAAAAAGGACGGATCTGTCGATGTCGTTGCACCGCTCACACGCGCAAAGGAGTCACTTGCAGCCTCAACTTCAGCACGTACAGGTGAGATAGGTGCCTGAACATTTCGAGTTGGAGAGTAGCCAATATCATCTTCGTCGTCGTCAGAATCGAGTATTATAACCGGAGGCATCTTGTCAGGCAGCAAACCATCGCGCCGATAATCACATTCGTGAAATGCGAGTCTCCAATCGCAATAGTGGCGGTGATTGAGAATTGTTATCGTTCAACAAAAGACAAGGATAATAACAAGCGCGTTAACGTGGGTACACGGGACCTACACGCGTAGGCACGTGATTTAAGACAATACCAGGTTTGTTCAATTACTAACGTACCTGGGTACGTGCCTTATGTCGTGGGCACCCATCAGTTAGTAGGTACCTATTCATTCTTTCTCATACTTACCTATTCTGAAAGCAAGAAAGCAAGATCACAGTCACAGTCACAGTCACAATCATGTATGCCAATAGAGGAACAAGGTTTTCATCATCATGAAAAAATAGGTCAATTTGTTGATTTTAAGACCTTCATCTGCTCCCAATTGGGAGGGTATATGCAAATGTTGAATGCTCGCCAAATCATCCTTACCCAGTTCCTATCCTAATCCGCAGGTTAACTTTTGGGATTACCACAAATATATCTGGTCCTTTTTTAGGCCAGCCCCAAACGCCGATGTTGAAATCGTAGCTGTTCTCAAGAACAGACTCCACAAAAAACACTATTAACACAATCCACAGACGCCCCCATCCCCATCAACCCTTAAACACACAGCATAGGTTGACATTTATTTGGCGTACTTGCTACGGAAGTACTTGGCGGCGTTAACCATGTTGGCGAGCGCCTCCTTGGTCTCTTTCCACTGACGGGTCTTGAGACCACAGTCAGGGTCGATCCAGAGCTGCTCAGGCTTGAGGAACTGAAGCATCTCCTCAATGCGATCCTTGATCTCCTGCTCGCTGGGAACACGAGGAGAGTGGATGTCGTAGACACCAGGTCCGATGTGACGGGGGTACTCAGAGTCGACGAAGACACGGAGGAGCTTGGCATCAGACTTGCTGTTCTCGATGGAGAGGACATCAGCATCAAGAGCGGCGATGGCGTGGAAGAAGTCCTGGAACTCGGAGTAGCAGAAGTGAGAGTGGATCTGAGTAGCATCCTCGACACCAGCGGTGGACAGACGGAAAGCCTGAACGGCCCACTTGAGGTAGGCGTCACGCTCCTCGCCGGAGCGGAGGGGAAGACCCTCACGGAGAGCAGGCTCATCGACCTGGATAACGTCGATGCCGGCCTTCTCAAGGTCGACAACCTCATCACGGAGGGCAAGAGCAAGCTGCTCAGCCTGGACGGACTGGTGAACGTCGTCACGGGGGAAAGACCATCGAAGACAGGTGACGGGACCAGTGAGCATACCCTTCATGGGCTTCTTGGAGACTGAGACGGCGTACTTGGACTCCTTGACAGTCATGGGGTTAGGTCGCGAGATGTCACCGACAATGATAGGAGGTCGGACGCATCGGGAACCGTAAGACTGGACCCAGGCGTGTGTGGTGAAAGCGTAACCCTGGAATCGCTCACCGAAGAACTGAACCATGTCGTTACGCTCAGGCTCACCGTGGACGAAGACATCGAGGTCGAGCTCCTCCTGGATCTTGACGTTCTCCTCGATCTCCTTCTCAATGAAGCGGTCGTACTCCTCAGCGGTGATCTCACCCTTGGTGAACTTGTTTCGCTGAACTCGGATCTCCTTGGTCTGGGGGAAAGATCCGATGGTGGTGGTAGGGAAGAGGGGAAGGTTCAGCTTCTTCTGCTGCTGGCTGATACGAACAGTGAACTCGCTGTTTCGCTCGTAGTCCTTCTGGGTGACCTTGGACTGGCGCTCCTTGACCTGAGGGTCGTTGGTGCGAGGAGAGTCAGCGCGAGCCTTGATGGACTTGGCGTTAGCCTCAAGCTGCTCACGGACGGAGGCAGGGCCCTCGGTGACGGCCTTGGCAATGAGAGAAATCTCGGAAGCCTTCTCAGTGGCGAAGGAGAACCAATCGGCAATCTCAGGGTCCAGCTTCTTCTCGCTGGCAAGAGTGTGGGGAGTGTGGAGGAGGGAGCTGGAGGTGGCAGCGATGACACGGTCCTTGCCGAGCTTCTGAACAGCAGTCTCAACAATCTCGATAGCACGCTTCAGGTTGGTCTTCCAGATGTTACGTCCGTCAACAACACCGGCGGAGAGGATAGTGTTGGAGCCGATGGAGCCGAGAACCTTGTCAAGCTGCTCGGGGTTTCGGACAAGGTCGATGTGAAGACCATAGATGTCCTTGGGGAGGAGGTCAACGTTGTGGACAATGTCACCAAAGTAGGTGGTGAAAACGATGTTGGGGATCTTGTTGCCAAGGCTGGCAAACTTCTCGTAGGCGGGCTTGAAAGCATCCTTGGTCTTCTGGGGAAGATCGAAGACGAGAACAGGCTCGTCAATCTGGACAGTCTCGGCACCAGCCTCCTTCAGCTGAGAGAGGAGCTGCTCATAGACGGGGAGAAGCTTCTCGAGAAGGTCGATAGGGTCGATAGACTGGTCACGGTCGGCCTTACCAAGGTGGAGGAAAGAGACAGGACCAACAAGGACAGGGCGGGTGTTGATTCCAGCCTCCTTAGCCTCCTTGAAATCAGCAACAGCCTTGGGGCTGTCGGTGAGCTTGAAGGTCTGGCTGTCCTGGAGGGTGGGCTTGACGTAGTGGTAGTTAGAGTCGAACCACTTGACCATCTCCAGAGAGGGGACATCGACGCCCTCCTTCTGGTGGCCACGGCCCATGGCGAAGTACTGGTCAATGGGGTCAAGACCATCCTTGGTGTATCGCTCGGGAACGGCCTAAAGGATGCGAGTCAGCAAGTGGTTTTCTATGAACTATAAAAGGGGGGACACGTACACCAAAGTCCTGGATCTGATGAAGGACATGGTCGTAGAGAGCAAAGTCGTTGCTGGGGATGATATCGACACCAGCATCCTGCTGGATCTTCCAGTGAGCAAGACGGAGGCGCTTGGCCTCAGCAAGAAGGTCAGATTGAGAGATCTTTCCACCCCAGTCTAGAGTTTTTTTGTTAGTCGATGATGACACGAGTCAGTGGGTTTGCGTGGGTGACTGACAAGCTTCGGTGGCCTTCTTCAGGTCACGGTTAACACCCATACGGGGGAAACCGAGAATAGCGGACTGAACCATGTCTGCGGTTGTTGCAACTGCTTTGTCTGGTTCGTAGAATGATGAAAACTGTTGTTGCAATGTTAGTCCTGATGCTGCTCTTGAAAAGAAAGCACGGTGCAAGCGGGGTGGAGGGCGGGGTGAGGGGCAGATAAATCGAGCAGGGCTGAAATGGATGGAGGCAGTAGGGGACGCAGATGAGGTTGACATACAAAGTGGTCCAAAGCCCTTGTCTGTTCCAAATTGGATCAATTGAGAAGATCCTTTTCGAGATAGAACAAAGGGCAAGAGTGTGATGAAGAAGAAAGAAGGAGGAAAATGTTGGGAGTCGGAAGGAAGATGAATGTTTTATGTTTTTGAGCTGTCCTGACGCCTGCAGGAGGAAGAGGTCAAAGTGGCCAACCACAGGCCGAAAGCGGGGGAGGGGTCGAAAAAGTGGCCGGGATAGCTACGCCGCTCTTTTGATTGGCGTCCAAGTACCTTGCCTGGGCTTGAGTTGGAGCTTTGGTTGTACTCAGAAACTCTAACAACATATGGCTCGAGTCTCACGTATTCGTACTACTACGTAGTAATCGTCCGCGGTGGTTGGCTAAACGGACGAGGCGGGTGCCGGAGTGGATTTCCAGGGCCTAGGGGGACGGCTCACGGGCTGTCGGTGTACGCTAATGGAGGGGCATCTTGCGGCAGCTCTGCAGCTTGTTGCAGGGGTTAGTATTCTTTTTTACACCGTTCTCGCAGCCTAGTTCGCCTCAACTCATCTTCGCCCGGCTTCCGAATTGCGTGCTCGACTGTCAATTACCTCACCAACCAATTCTTTCTCCCTCTGGACCCTACTATGGAGTCAATAGATTGTCGTCCTAAACTAAGAGGGAACTGAGGCCAATTTTTATCTCGCCGCGGATCGGCCTCTGGCGTCCTTTTGCAGGCTGCAACCCACCCGTTGCGAGAGATCGACCATACCCAAACCCCACCAAGGGTCGCGTCTCTCTCTTCCTTTTTTTTTCTTGTCGGACTGTTCACTTGTCAATTTTCTATTATGGCTTGCTACGGCATTTGGTGTTGCAAACCGACCACGTGTTCTAGTTGATCTATAGCATAATCCTCCCGTGACGTGAATGCACCGGAGTATTTCGGAGTCTTTGGCTCCGGACTATGGACCTATGCTAAGCGCACCAAGTCCTTGTAAGAGTCAGACGTCGCCATGGCCATGGATCAGATATATAGTAGATAGGCATGACCCTTAGATATGATTAAATAAATATCTCCAAATTCTATCTGTCAGAGTTTGCTGGATCTTTGCGTCGTGATCCAATTAAACATTACAGCATTTCTGACTTTTCTTACCATGACTTTCAAAAATGGACGGACAGAATGTCCGTTGAGCCGAGACATCGAAAACTGCCTAACGGGAAGATTTGTGATTTTGTTCCTTGCGAATTTGGCGACACAGGCGAGTGCCTGCTTACAATCCACGATGACTTCTGGATACAGTAGGTACTACAGTGGTTTGTTCACCATCTCTTGAATCCAGCTTCATGGAGCTAGTGTCTTAGGGTAAGTGGAGGCAAGTAGGCATTATGAACAAGAGGGTCAAGGGTAAGCGTGGAAGTCGCGATGACTTCAGTTGCTGTTCGCCTCCCAAAAACTACCTCGGTAGGTACGTTGGGTAGGTGACTGCCGTTTAGATGTCTTTAGCTTAGTAGCCCAGCTGGCAATCAACACGGTTTCATTCCTGGACTGTTATCAACACTTTCGTTTTGGTCAAAGATTGATGTCTGTCTTCTTTGGGTGTTTGGCTGCTATACTTTGATCGATTGTTTGGAAGATTGCATTCTATATTTCACAGACATCACAGATGCCTCTCTTCAATCCCCTGAACCTCGTCTGCTGTTGCAAATCACGATGTGGTGGCTCTGGCTCTCGCTCTGGTGACCCGATACCAGCTACGCACGACATGATATCCCTTCAGCACGTACCAACCCTGGATTTGACGTTGGAAGAGCGACAAATATCACCCGAACACGAACAGCGAAATACTCTAATAGGTCTATCTGACGTGGCCTGGGCGGCGCCGGAGCGCCAAAGTTCCATCGACACTGACTCCATCACGAACCAACATAGTGACTCGGATTCTTTCTCCGACTCTTTCGATTCTGATCTGGACCGTCCGAGGGCAACAAAGAAGTCCAGCACCACGTTTGGCGTTGTGCGTAACAGGCTCATCAGGAGCATCTCTCACAACACCAGCAGTGACCAGCCATCGCGTGTCTTTGTAGGCAACAGTGAAGAAGAAGTTGCTAGAAGAGCCGAACTGAGACGTATCATGCGCCTGAGGATTCAGGATCAGCTCGAATCAGAGGAGGCCGAAGATCAGTTCGAGAACAAGACGACAAGAAGTATTCGACGTGGAATTTCCTCTGTCGACCTTGCTTTTCTAACTTCTGGACCGCGGGATGCTATCGAGTTTGGCGTCGCCAAATCTGCCTTGAATGATCGGCAACCAGCTCGACTTGATTCAGATCATGGAGGACATGGGACTTGTAAGAATCTTGTAGCTCTTCCAAAGAATGCAACTGTCCTCGAGAGAGCTTCTCAAGAGCCATCTGGCGTCATCGGCCATGAGAAAGACATCCAGGGATACCATGTCATACAAAAGCCGTCGTCCACACACCTTTCGGCACATATATCAGAAGACACTGCGCTTCCGTTTTCACAGAAGTCTTTCCAACTTTCTAACGGTGCTGGGCGTCTTGATCGGATACTGGGACCAGACAATAGCTTCAACAGTCGCCAGGTTTCTTCTGGAGACGGCCAGTCTGCACTTGGTGTTTGGCTCATAGCTCAGGGTCTCCGCTTACGAGATAACTCAAACCTCTTCTTTGAAGAAGACGAAGAAGAAGAGCAAGTAGGATCTACAAATCCAATCGAGAAAACCGAAGACATTCCCTCAATTGCTAAAATGGGACAAGGCATGTCGGTGTTCGAGCTCGAACCAGTGTCTGCAAAGGGGGATTCTTTGGTTATCCAAAGGCCTACACCTAACAGATCACTAAACAGACCGAAACTCCATGGGAATCTCAAACCAGGCTCTGTGAAAGATGCTCATGACAGTTGCAACTTTTCTGGAGAGTTACCACGGGGCCCTACTGTAAGAGCACTTCTCGGCTCGTTCACAGACAACACTTCTTCCAGTGATCCATCGAAGTCTCCGCCAAGCCCAGTAAGGTCCAAACAGAACCTCTACAAACTGGAGCTGAAAGACCTCGAAAGCATGGAGCTTTCCCCTTCCAGATGTGAGGATTTACCCTTTACCACGACAAGAGAACTAATCACAAGAGTAGGGCGAAGCCGGGACTCTCCCCGCAATGAGGAGAATTCTGACGACGAAAGCCACAAACCTCAAGATATGGAGGTTTTGCATTCCAAATCTCAGTCTCAGGGAGTCGTTGGTGGCTTGCAATTTGAAGCAGAAATGATGCATGATACGGCCTCTCTAACTCAATCGGAATCCCCCAGCTTTCTCCAGCGCGAAGCTGAGTTCAAAACAATTGAAAGGCGCTTCAGCGAAGCTTTAACTCAGAGGAAGCCCGAGAAAACAGTCCCCACACGCTTCCTTGAGCACTTTTCTCACTCCGCCCCTCGATCCCCGGCTGAGAAGCCTCCGAGGGACAAAACCCACTTGGCGGTCCCAAAGGGTCACCAACGGGCTAGATCTGAGAGCTCTTTGTATCGACATGTTGAAGACAATTTGGGTGTATCCCGAGCTCAAAGGTTTCTGCTTATTCCTTTAGATAGGAACAAGACTCACAGAAAGGAAGCGAGTGACAGGTCGAAGAGACGTTCGAATCTCAGTATTCGCCCCCACATGAGCCGGCTGCCTACGGAAGAATACGTCAAGTCGAGCTTGGAACCTCGAGAAAGTGTCACAAACTTATGGCAGCGCGCTGTCCGACTTGAAGCTGAAAGAAGGCATAGCCGTAGGTTTCTTAGCATGCAAGATCCTGATGGAAGAAGCATATCTTCCAACAGACAACCGAAAGAACAAGGTGTTGGAAACAGCAACAGTAGTATTTCCGATGCGAGACGAGAGATCTCACAATTAACACCCTCCACAGAGGAACGACCCTCTCCTAGTAATTCGAAGTGGCTCATCGAACGTTGGGTTTCTCAAATGCGGCCGAGGTCGACTCACCAAGAAGACTCAGTCACAAGTGCAAAATTGGTCAGCCCGCCGAAGTCCTGGTCCAAATTTCCCTCTTTCAACAGGGAGGAAAGAAACAAAAACGCAGCATCCGGAGACAAAGTACAACCCAGAGATTTTGCAGTCAAACATGTCACATCAGAAGGTCAGATCCGCTGGGCCACGGATATGACCAAGGAAGATGAGCAACGTGTGCATACATCATCTCGCTCTATGTCTTTATTCAAGTCGAAAATGAATCGAATTATGCCGTCAAAAGGTCTGCGACGCCGGATGAGCCTCGCCTTCGTCGCGAGAATGCCAAGCCCAGCCCAAATGGAATATCCCGAAATGGGTATCCGCCCCTCAGAATCAGGGTATACCGAGCTCCAAGCATTAGGAAGAGAGATTAGCAACATGAAGGGCCAGGGGCATCTACAGACCTCTGGACGAGACATTTCAAAACCGCAATCTTCCGGAAGATTGGAGGATAGAGTAGTTGCACTTATGCATGAGGCAATTGGGCAGAAACATCCGAAACCCGATGAATTGTTGGAGTCAGCCGACATTCCTATTGTACCAGGCACGCCAAGTGTAATCAGACCAAGCATTGCCGCTACCACGACAGATGTCTTTGTGACGCCGAAGAGCCATTTTTCGAACGATGGGGAGAGTAAAGAAGATATCGACGAATTAGAAGCAAGTCTCACTACAGCAGGGCGGTATGAGGCTCGTCCGAAGCTATTTGATTACAATGATGCCTCTTAATCCGGTGCTCGCAGCTCCCGGCGAGAATTTCGACTCTAGTATACGTCCACTACCAGCTAATAAGACCTAGGCAACTAGACGCGACTCAAGAGAAGCAACGTTTTTACTAACAGAAAAGATGCAATATTGGTTCATGGGGTCAATTGGTCAAGAATTACAGAGAAAACGACTGAACGTGAGAGTAATGTGCTTGCAAACGTGGATCGGCTGAAAAAGTCTTATCCACTCCGAGCTGTAACCGGTCTTGTGAGTAGTCAAGCTTTACGTATGCGGTCTTCGTCTTAGAATAGGACAATTATAATGCTGTTCCCATAACTCGTTAAGCTCTAGGTAATTCTCGAAGCGCTTTGCAACTTTCTAGCATGTCCAAGAATGGATTGCGACTACACGGGTTCATTTGCCTTCTTCTCCTTCTCCTTCTCCTTCTCCTTCTCCTTCTCCTTCTCCTTCTCCTTCTCCTTCTCTCTCAGCTCATAATGCTCCTTTCTAGCCTTTGCGTCTTCTTCTTTCCGTTGCAGTTCCTCTTTTCGCTCGCGAAGTGCAATGCAGAACTTCGAACGAGCTCGAATACTAGGTCCCTTCCAGATGAAGACAAACGGGATGAAACACATTAGTGTACTAAGGCCTCCTAGAAGAGAGCACGCGCCGTTAATATTGAGCTGACGAAACATGGGTTTGGTGGCAAGTGGTAATACGACAGCGAATAGGGACCTTGTCGTTGAGGATGCGGCATTCGCGGAGGCAGCAAATATTTCATATGCATCCGTGAGGTAATTCAGCATGGCCATGAAGATCAACAAGAAGCCCATCCCAAAAAGGATGCCAGCTAGCATTGGTGCTGCAAAAGGTATGTCTTGACGAGCAGACCAACCGAGCCAAAAGAGGGATATAACGAAGAGTGGACCACCTAAACAAGCTAGAGGAAGGCGGCGATATTCCTCGCGATGAATCCAGGATGCATTACGCTCTGTGGCACGGGCGAGAACATTATCCCACGTCCAAAATATGGGAAGAGACAGAGCGGCACCGCCAAAGATAGGGAGATAAGCGAGTCCTGTAACACCTGGCGACAGACCGTACACGTCTTGGAAGATAATTGGGAATGCCTGAAAGGACATATAGAATATTGCGTAGACAAGAGCAAGATAGGTGCAGGTCGTTGTTACAATAGGCTCAAAGAGGAACATACGAAGGGGGCGAGTCAAGACCACGGTGAGAAGCTGTCTGATATCTGTTTCCTCAAGATCTCGCGGGGCAATGGCACGAGATGACGGGTCTCGTTTGCGGAGTCTTTGGGCACGACGGGATAGGAGTATTGGGCCATAGGTCTCAGGGAGGAAGATGATTAGGACAATGGTAGCACCGGCGATCATGAGAGCAATCCAGAAGACCCAACGCCAACCAATATTGGGGCCAGCGAAACCGGACAGAATCGGGGACAGAATAGGACCTCCGGTGGTGCACTGCAGCGTTGTCAGCTTATATCTTGCGCATTAAAAAAGTACAGAGGGACATGCTGCATACTTACCACCATGAAAATAGCAAATGCTCTGCCCCTCGTGCGAGGGTCATTATATATGTCTGCCAAAATACCAGCAACAATTGCAATAGGTGAACTCGCAAAGGCTCCACAGAAGAATCGAAAGATCAACAATGCCGCCCATGTTGGAGCGACAGCACAAGCCATAGTAAAAATGGTGAATAAACAGAAGGTCACTAGGCTCAGGTCGCGACGGCCATAATGTTCGCTGAGGGGCCCCCAGACGACAGGCCCCAAAACGTAGCCGATGAGGTAAACGGAGATGGGCAGAACACTTTGTTCTTCTGATGTGATCCCGAAGTCCTTGGTAATATTTGGTATCGCCATACTTGGAAGGGCAGAGCCCATGGTGGAGTTGATGACTAGAACCGAGGTACACAAGACAACCAGTTTCTTCTTCGTCTATGCCATGTATGTCGTTAGCAAATGCATCACAGGACAGGACGAGACAGGACAGAACGGTAGGGCTGGGGGTGATCAAACTATCATACATTTGACCATTTGACTGGGTTTTCAGGATCATCAATCTCCCAGCTGATAAGCGTCTCATCGGTACGGCTTCGTGTCCGGGAGCGGATATTATGAAGGGCGCCAAGACCTCGGTCTGCCGTTTCCTCTTCATATCGAGATTGAGCGTCTACGTCAAGATGCTGTATTTGATATGAAAAAGAACTGCTTCTTCGTTGTCTTCCTCCTGACGAATTGTGAGCTTGTGTCCAGGCCAGCAGATAGTTACTTGGTAGCATGATTCCGGCAATGACTTACGGCATGGAGATGGTTCCCGCATAGTGTCACTAGATTCACTTGCAGGCATGACGTCTCGGCTTTGGGAGTCACTGAAGCTATTCACACCCGGCATGTTGTAATTGAACCGAGATAACAGGAGTGGCAGCTACACTCGAAGAATGTTGAAAGGAAGAGGAAGACATTACCACCAAGTACGCGAAGCGGAGCTCTATTACTTGCACCTGCAGATACCCCCATGACATAGCAAACGGCTTTCTCAAAAGGGTCGATGATGGGGGGTTCATACACCCATTGGCTATGGGCTAAGTCCGGAGCCGGGCCTCAAATATGGGGTAATCTGGTTAAGGTGGGATCCACGGCGCCGATGATGGAGGCGAACGTAGGAGCTATCTGCGGGAGCCTCTTCCGCGGCCGAGGTCGTCATTTGAACGTGGGCTATCTCTCCCGGAAGGGAATTGGTCTCAGCATCATGATAGCTCGATTGCCGGTAGCTTCCAATATTGGTCCTGTTAGCTTGGATTGATTCAACGAGCGACGAATCGCGACATTAGTTCTGCTAGACCAACAAGTTGGGGGTTGTCGGAACCTTTCCTCAGTGGCTGATAACCCGGGAATAGTACCGGATACAACTTAAGTAGGTCAGCCCTTCCGTTGACATCCAACCTGAACACGAACACAAACACAACCGGCTTTCCACACCGACTGCGAGCCCCCGAAAAGCGCAGTATTACAAATAAAGTTGACCAAGCGTTGTGATGTGCAAAAATATTGCTGCATTGAAGAACAATTGGATAAGAATTTTCCCGGAAGTGCCGACTTCATGCCGCTTGCTGTATGGTCTTTTGGGGGTATCAAACTTCGATTTGTTTCCTTGTTCAAGTTTCTAAGTTGATCTGCTTTCCGAATCTGGCATATAAATCGACCTTGAGCTTGGTCATTTCCTCGCGAATAAATGATAGCTTTTCTTCCAAAGATGTCGATTCTTCCTCGAGCGTTTCCGTTGCTTTCTCGAGCATCTCCTGGGCCTGCTCTACCGAAACGTGGAAAAAGGCGTCGCCGATCTTGTATCTGACTTCAAGTTAGATCTTGATATATCCCAATCGTAATGTTGGTTCGAGTTCGTACTGGATCTTCTCGTCCTCGTCGGCGAGTTCTAGTTCTGTCGACAGATCGTCAAGCTCTTCCTTCTCTTTCTATATGGCGTATTGAATTAGTCTTTGCCCAGCCCAAGTCGCAAGCAACTCTGAGTTTCTTTATAGACATACGTTCTTAGCGCTCAGCTCCTCTCCTAGAACAAGTTCTCGCTGGTGTAGGCGGCTGAAACGGTTGATCTTGTCTTGGTCCTCACGTCGAACCTCGACCTCATCGGCTGCCTCCTCATCCGCCTTTGAAAGCTAGTCGACTGTTAGATAGTTGTTTCAGAGTATTCGATTCGTTTAGCTTACCATGCGACGCTGTACTAACGAAGCCATTGTGGGTGAATATGGATGTTATAGATGTTATACAGATCTTCAGGTTGAGCGTTTCGCACAACTCAACACCGAACCCAGGGTGGGTTACCGTGTGAAGATACAGTTATGGTTGATATAGCACTGTGCGCCCCTCATTCTCACTGAGGTGCTGGAGCTTCCATGTCATCCGTGCAGGGGCTGCTTTAGGGGTGTGGAGCTTAGAGGTACGTACACCGTTTCGGCCACAGCCGATTGGCTGATTGCTCAACTCAAGTACATACGAGTAGGTAGTACCAGTGAGGTCAGTAAATCCATGCCAAACGATTGCGGAACGCGCATGTCAACAACATCTGGAACTAAAACAACAAACAATATCTCACCAACGATGGCTCTCGGAAAGAAGCCTTATCCAAAGGCGATAGTTAAAAAGATCATTAAAGCTCATTCGAACCACAATATCAAGAAGAATGCTGATGTTACCGTGCGTCCGGGTCGTCTTTCAATCGCAATTGTTGCTAATGTTTACTTGTCTTAGATCTTCCTCGACTACATCCTGTTCATGGAAACGTATGGCCTTGACCAACCTTGCAGATATAATCCATTGAGCTGATCAAATGACTAGACTTGTTAAAGAAGCGGCGATCCAGTCCAAGCAGTCTGGCGAGCGAGGGCTCTCCGCGCGGAGTGTTAAGAAGGTGACGAGGGTATGCCGTTCCAGACATCACTTTTTGTATATTTGCTAAGTGGTATTTTCTTCTCAGGATACCTTGACCAAGTTCAAAGGTTGAGCCAGGTGATAAAACACGACAAACAACAATAGCAGTACTCGTCAAAAACACCAACAGAACAAAAACGCGATAACTAAGAGCCGCGCCGATGCCGACAGCTAAAGAACATCAGCTACCCATAATCAACGAGTCGATAGACAGAGAGTTCTGTATATACTCAATGATCTCGCACACCGAGAACGAAAGTAAATTTGGTTGCATCCGTCGACACGCTGAGCGGACTAAAAAGGGGACGTTTTGAAAAGGCGAAAGCGCAGCATTGGAGCACGAGACCACCTCACCTCACCTCACCTCAGCTGAATGCGCCTGCGGTTGAGTGGGGCAATCGCCATGACGATGGAGGCCATCCAGAATCGCCTCATTTCTTAGAAGCTATGTCGACAGTATAAGATAGTCAATTGATGAGTTTGGATAAAATGCACCACGACCATACTTGAATGATAGACTAGACTAGACACCTGTCACCGTAGTTGTAATAGAACCAACTACCTATTGACGGGCACTCGGCGCATGATTCTCATCGGTTCTAGAAACATTGACAGTGTCAATGCAGGGGGTTGTCTGGGCACTTTCATGGGGTTAGTGAGTGGCACTTGGGCTGGCACTGACTGGCACTGGCACCGACAGCTGGAGCCAGCTTCGTTTCTACCTAAGTAGCTACCTGTGTACCACCACAACTTTGCCTGCTCTCTTCTCCTCAAGCAAACTTTCCTCTCCTCCCCTCTCCTCTCGCCCAAGTTCATCAATTAACTTTTGCTTTGTCCACATTCTAACTCATCTCTAACTTTGAGCTTTCTCCATTACTCAAACCTCAAACGACCTTCCTCCCCCCCCAAGCCTGTCGCACATCACCGCCGACAGTGCCTCCACGCCTCGCGCAAACTTTCTACCACCAATACACACACGACTCTACCGCGATGGCTGCTCAAGCTGTTCAGCCTCAATCCAAGTCGGCCAAGAAGAAGGCCACCAAGGCTCTTGAGCGAACCGAATCTCCCGCTCCTAGCGTTGCTTCTGCCACTGCCGATAAGAACAGCGATGACAGCTTCGAGAGCCCCTACATCAAGGAGATCCAGAAGTAGGTTCTGGAACGGCGTGGCAAGAAAGTGTAATTATGAATGCTAACGGTCAGCAAAGGAATATCCGAAATGTCAACAAGAAAATCGTACGTGCTTATGTCTATGCGACATCGTGTCTGACTCTCTTCGTGCTAACCTTGCGGCCAGACCAACGCCTCCAAGACCGATTCCCTTCTAGCCCAGAATCCTGGCAAGTCACTTGACGAACTCGTCGAGGCAAAAATTATCAACGCCGACCAGAAGGCTCAGATCCTCAAGAAGCCTTCTCTACAGCAGCAGCTAGCGCAATACGAGGAGCAGCTTACTCAATACCAGAAGGTTGACGAGCAGTACAAGACACGTGCTGCTAGTGACAAGGCAGAATGGGAGAAGAACCTCGAGAAGGCCAAGGCCGATGCAAAGGCCGAGGCTAAGGCTGAAGCTACCAAGAACCTCCATGACAACCTCTTGGTCCTGTCACAATTTTTGCGACTTGCCGCCTACCGTCGTGAGGAAGCTCAGGACCCCGAGTCTGATGAAAGCCAGGCGATCGAGGGAGTGCTTCTTGCCATCTACTCCGGAGACGAGAGCGCTGTTCAGTCCATGCTGAAGCTTGTCAACGGCTCCGATGATCAGGTTGTTAGCGTTCCTGGCGAGCAGCTGCAGACTCCTTGTAAGTGATCCAACCTTCCTTCCTGGTTCATGCTAACAGTACGTAGTTTCCAAGGTTAAGGCCCTTGCCCAAGAATACAAGACCCCGTACGATGATGCTCAGCCCGCTGAAGACAACGCCGAGCCACCCAAGGACGTTGCTACGGACCCTACTATCGCGCATGCCGCTGCTACCGAGATCGAGGCCGGTGATACCGTTCTTCCTTCCATCACTACCGAGCCTTCTTCTAACGGCTTGGCTAACGCCAGCGTCGCCGACGATGCTGCCAACGCTGTCGCCGAGAGCCACTGGGACACCACTAACAATGAGATGTCCACTTCCCAGGAGTGGGTCGACGTGAAGCCCGCCGAGGCTGTTGAGGAAGCCGCTGCTCCCGCCCCTACTCGTGTCGCCAACGCCAACTCTTGGGCTGATGACCACCCAGAGGTATTTCGATTCCCACACCCTCGTTAAACACTCGAGAAGCTAATCGTCTAAACCAGACCAATGCCCCTACTGATCCCAACGATGGGTTCCACCAGGTCCAGCGAACCCGACCTCGCAACGATGGTGGTAACCACCGAGGTCGTGGACGAGGTGAGCACCGAGGCCGAGGAGGTTTCCGTGGTGACGGTCGCGGTCGTGGCCGCGGTCGTGGAGGCTCTGGCGGTGCCCCTCGAGGTCAACGACGTAGCGATGAGCCTTAAGCACTCCAAAGTGTGGCATGCGGTAAACGCACACCCTACAATCTCCTTTTAATCCTCCGAGGGCAAATGTACACTATCAAATGACGGCGTTTACAAGTCAAGATTTCTGAGGCGAAAAGCCAGGGGACGGTGGACTTGAGGACTTTGCATTTTGGGGTTTTGATGATTTTGGGACTCGGTTATACATCTGGCCACGGTGTCGGTTGGAGTTCTTAATACCTTTGTAACAATGTAGGCCTCGAGAGTGATACCTGGGGCAGTAGGGAAACAATGTGAATGGTTACCCGCCAATCTGGGCTGTGATGAGCCTCGTCACATGTCGTGATTTCGTATGTGTCATTGAGAGTTGAACTGATGTAACAAGTGGCCAACCCGAAGTGAGTGTATTGATATACCCAGCACCCTACATTTCTTTCTCAGTAAAGTAATCGAGTTGAAGCTATCTTGAATGGTAAGGCTGAAAGTAAACTTTATAGAGCTTCAAAATGTGCCGTCATCGGGTTGACAGGGGTATTGGAGAATGTGGGGAGACGATTGAGTCTTCTGGTTGGCCAAGGTACTATAGGTATAGTACCTAAGCCTCCGTGTAGGCCAATTTGTCCAAAGTGAACAAGACAAGCAGAGGCCACGTGGGTTGATTAGCAGAGGAGCAGAAAATGAAACAGTCTATTGATATGATACATATGATGCCGATAATTGATTTGACTTTGGAAATTTGATTCGAGTCGAGAAAGGCCCTAAGATCCAAAGTTCAATATTGTATGTGCAATACATTGTGATACTCGACACACTACAGTATCGTTGACCGAGTCAGTAGATCATCATGAAATTTCCTCAAGGCTGTCATCATAAGTTGTGATGTGATTAGCAAATATCATGAAGTTCCGAGACCAAATAGGCCACTTGTCAATCTTGATTCGGTAGTTGGAGAATGTCTGGGCCTTGGTGTGTCAAGCGAAGGGAATACTAAGGCCAGGCCGAGATCAGATGTTCCACCTAAATGTTTATCGCACCAATAGGCCTCTTTTATCTTCTCGTCTTTTTATCAGCCTTGCATTAGAACTAACGTCACCGCCGCTATTGTACCTATGGTTAGCTGTCCTCTTCATAGGTTCCAGTGGCTAGAATCTACCACTACCTACTATCCTCAATAGCCATCGTGGCTTCTTGGTACCTACCTTTTGGTGAGATCCACATTCTGGCCACATCAACCTCTCTTCTTCAACTTATACAATCAAAAGGAAGTAAATACCTGGGCCTTTTCTTCCTTCGCCCATTGACATCGCTGTCTTTCTGCTCCTTTTCTCAAGAGGTAGCGTTCCTCATTGACAATAGAAAAGACACCGCCTATCAATTTGGTGTGCGCAACTGAGCGCACCCCCACCAAACCACCATCATGGCATCTCGTGTCTCGCCTCTCATGACGCTCTTGGCGACGATTTTTCTCTTCGCCACGAATGTTTTCGCAATTTCCGCTGTGTTGGGTGTCGACCTCGGTACCGAATACATCAAGGCCACTCTCGTCAAGCCCGGTATTCCCCTTGAGATTGTCCTGACAAAGGACTCTCGCCGAAAAGAAACCTCCGCCGTCTGCTTCAAGCCTTCCCGAAATGGACCTCAGAAGGGCGAATATCCCGAGAGAGCCTACGGCGCCGATGCCATGGCTCTCGCCGCTCGATTCCCTAGCGACGTTTACCCCAACCTCAAAACTATCCTCGGCCTAACCACTGAAGACTCTGTGGTAAAGGAGTACGCCGCTAGACACCCCGCGCTGCAATTGCAGTCCCATCCTACTCGAAACACGGCTTCTTTCAAGAGCGGGTCTTTCACCGAGGACGAGGAGGCCTGGATGGTTGAGGAATTGCTCGCTATGGAGCTGCAGAGCATTCAGAAGAACGCAGAAGTCGCCGCTGGCGATGGATCCAGCGTCCGTTCTATTGTTCTTACTGTCCCTCCCTTCTACACCATTGATGAGAAGCGCGCCGTTCAAACTGCCGCCGAACTTGCTGGCCTGAAGGTCCTAGGACTTCTCAGCGACGGTCTTGCCGTTGGTCTGAATTACGCTACTACTCGGGAGTTTCCCAACGTCAGCAACGGATCTAAGCCTGAATACAATATCATATTCGATATGGGCGCCGGCTCTACCAAGGCTACTGTCATGAAGTTCCAAGGCCGAACAATTAAGGATATCGGCAAGTTCAATAAGACGGTCCAGGAGGTTCACGTCATCGGTGCCGGTTGGGATCGTACTCTTGGTGGAGATTCCTTGAACTACCTCATTGTGGATGACATGGTCAAGCAATTCGTTGAGTCCAAGGCTGCTCAGAAGGCTTCCGTTGCCGCCGAGAGCGTCAAGGCCCACGGTCGTGCCATCGCGAAGCTCACCAACCAAGTTGAAAAGGTTCGCCATGTATTGAGTGCCAACCAGAACACTGGAGCCAGCTTTGAGGGCTTGTACGATGACATCGACTTCAGGTACAAGATCACTCGCGCTCAATTCGAAGAGATGGCTTCTGAGCACGCTGAAAGAATCACTGTTGTGATCAACGATGCCCTCAAGGCCGCTAACCTCGACATCATTGATATCGACTCTATCATTCTACACGGCGGTGCCTCTCGTACTCCCTTTGTCCAGAAGGTTCTGGAGAAGCTCTCTGGTTCTACGGACAAGATTCGATCCAACGTCAACTCTGACGAGGCTGCTGTTTTCGGTGCTGGTTTCCGCGCTGCTGAGCTTAGCCCTAGCTTCCGTGTTAAGGAGATTAGAATCTCAGAGCCTGGCTTCTACTCCTCTGGTGTGAAGTGGGAGACAAAGGAGGGCAAGGCTCACCACCAGCGACTTTGGTCTGCCGTTTCTCCCCAGGGCGCCACCCCTAAGGAGCTTACATTCACCAATGGCGAAGACTTCACTGCTACATTCTACCAACAAATTGGCTCTAGTGAGAAGGACGTCAAGACCTTGACTACGAAGAACCTGACTGCAACTATCGCTGCTATCAAGCAAAAGTACCCATCGTGTGTTGAATCGGAGATTCAGTTCAAGCTTGGTGTAAAGCTCAGCAACGAAAACGGCGAGGTTCAGGTTGCCAAGGCCGCTGTTGAGTGCGAAGCTGAGGTCAAGGAAGGCCTCGTCGATGGTGTCAAGAACCTTTTTGGTTTTGGAAAGAAGGACCAGAAGCCTCTGAAGGAGGGTTCTGAAGGGTCCGAAGAGGAGATGAAGGATGGCAAGTCTTCATCTTCTACCACTTCTTCTGAATCTTCTACTACTTCCGAGGCCGACACCACTTCTTCTGGAAGCACCGAGGAGGCTAAGCCCGAGATCAAGAAGCGTGAGATTGTTGGTATTCCTGTCGAGGTTGTCGTGGAGGACCTCGGCATTCCAGGCCTTACTAAGGCGGAGATCTCCAAGTCCAAGGATCGTCTCAAGTCCTTTGCTGCTTCCGACAAGGCACGCCTTCAGCGGGAGGAAGCTCTCAACCAGCTCGAGGCATTTACATACAAGATTAGGGATCTTCTTGAGGGCGATGCTTTCGTTGAGGCTTCTAGCGAGAAGGAGAGAACCAAATTGGCTGATCTCTCCAGCGAGACGAGTGACTGGCTTTACGCTGACGGTGCGGAGGCTACGAAGGATGCTCTCAAGTCCAAGCTCAAAGTTCTGAGGGATCTTGTCGCTCCGATCCAAAAGAGAGTTGAGGAGTCCGAGAAGCGTCCCGAGCTTACTACTTCATTGAAGGAGTCTCTGGAACGAACTTCTGAGTTCCTTAACAAGATTAAGGAGCAAATTGCTGAGCACGAGAGCTGGCACAAGTCTGCTTCCGAGTTGGCATCTGCATCTTCGTCAACTGACTCGTCCAGTACAGAGGCTGCTGGAGAGAAGGCCACCGGTGAATTCGACGGACTCGAGGACGAAGACAGCGCAGCTGCGACAGCCCGCAAGATGGAGGACGTTATCAAGGAGAAGGGGCCGATTCCTCCCCTCTACACGCTGGAGGATCTCAAGGAGGCTTCCGACCTTTACAAGTCCACCCAAGATTGGCTGAACGAGCTTGAGCCTAAGCAGGCTAAGTTGGCTGCCAATGCGGACCCTGTGCTCCTCGTCAAGGATCTCAAGGCCAAGCGTGACAAGCTCGAGAAGGTCAGCATGGAGGTCGCCCTCAAGGGTGCCAGGAAGGTTGAGGAGAAAAACCGACAGGCTAAAAAGGCTGCAAAGGAAGCCAAGAAGGGCAAGGGTAAGAAGAGTAAGACGACGAGCGGAGAGCCATCACAAGAGCCACTTCAGTTCAACGCTGAGGATTTCATGAAGGATGGTGAGATTGACCAGGAGCAGCTTGAGAAGCTGATCAACAACATGAAGAAGGAGAACGAGAAGAAGGACGGCGGGGAGAAGAAGCAGACACATGACGAACTATAGACTATAGCGTATTGACTTTGGTCTTGGCTTTCTTACGACAAAAAAAAGAAAGGATTATATAGAGACGGTTGTTGTTGATATGTATCTTGCTTGAATGATACCGGGTCAGGCGATGGATGATAGAGCATCTGACCATCCTTTGAAAGTAGAAATGACAAAGATAAACATATTGTTTCTCACTTATCAAGTGCCAATGAACGCCGAATGTGAGATGTATCGTTAACGGAGTTGAGCTTACTTACGGCAATGTTGTTCCTATTTCACGAGATCTTTTTGCTCACAATCTAAGATGAACAGCCCGCGACATAACGAAACGTTGCGATATACTCACCACACCCGGTCTCCCTTGCCTCGCCTGTGCTGTGGACCGTGTTTGGAACCGTCACTTACTCGCCTAGTATCATGAGGTTATCCCATGAACACTATCTCGAGCACTCGTCTCAATCAAGATCTTTGTATCTCGACGCCCTCAGACAAGCAACATGTGCTCGTGTCACGTCATTGCTACCAAAGACGTGGATATAATGCTTAGTTACCTATACAATGCTATGTTACGTCGTAGTTGCAGGCTCCCGTGTTTGCTTCCGTAGGCGAGAAACGACCCGATTACAGACAGGCTGTGTAATGGTCGACGCGATGCGAAGGGCTCGTCTAAAGGGAAGCGACTTAGTGTACTACAAGAGTTGTTCGAGTAAATTTGAATACTGCGATGATTGCTCGGCTTATGCTACTATAGTGAGACGTTGCCAAGAACAACAACATCATCGTGAGGTTAGACTTCAGGGAGTTATTCTCGTGAACGGGTCGTATTTACACTGGCTTGGCCGAGAAACTGCCCGGCAGGTGCTGGCAACTGCAACCATCGCACCTGCCCCGGACGCTGGTATCCAAGTTAATCACCAGCCCGGGTACTGCTTGCCATTTCATCGATTCTTTTTTTCGAAATCCGATCCTCCAGGGATATTTCTTCCTTTCATATATTGATGCTGTCTCCCTCCCAATCTTCTTCTGGAAACAAATCTTCCTCATCTTCCACCTTTCGTCCTCTTTGGCTTTGTTCCCACAATGAAGAGCTTCACTCTGCTTGCTACGCTTCTTGTGGCAAGCCTGACATTGGTTCTTGCCACGCCTCACCCCCAAGGCACAAAGCGTTTCTCACTGGAAGCTGCCAAAAATTCCAACTCCAAGCCTGATTTCGTTCGAGAATGGGTGGCAGCTCACCAGAAATGGGGAAAGCCTGTTTCCCGGGAGACTCTGGCCGCTTTCTCACTCCTTGATGACGGTATGTACAAATCACAGTTTGAACCTCACTGGTACTGATGAGCTTTGTAGATGGTCGCGTGGACGTGAAGCCTCTTGGCAATGATGAAATCTACATTGCCGACGTCAAAGTAGGCACACCGCCTCAAACACTCAAGATGGCAATCGATACCGGGTCTGCTGATTTGTAAGAGATGTTACTCCGAGGAAACGGTTCCAAGAGAACGTGCTTGTACTTACCAGTCAGTTGGGTTCAATCCACCGACACAGTCTATCGAGTGACCACTGAAGGTCCGTGGGCTCCTCAATACAAGCCCAATGCATCCAAAACTTCTCATCGCGTTCGTGATGCTGAATGGGAGGTTGAATACGGTAACTAAAGCGTTCTTGTGTCTTGCTAAGGCAGAACCAAGCTAATCACTGATGGCAGTTGACGGGACTCATGCCGATGGCATTGTCTACCTCGATACTGTTCGTCTGGGGGATTTCGAACTCAAGAATACGGCCATTGAATCTGCTCAGGTCGTTGCACCACGATTCGAACGCGAGACTGGGCTTACTGGCATCATGGGTCTTGCCAAAACTCTTCCCAGTAACGTAGATCCTCCAACGCCTTCTCTTCTCGACAAACTTCGCCCACTGTTAGACAAAGCAGTCTTTACAGTTGATTTACGACGAAACGCCACCGGTCGTTTTGATTTCGGCTACGTTGACGAAAGTAAGGCCAAGGACAAAATCTCGTGGATGGCAACGCGGAAGGACAGTCCTCACTGGGATGTCACATTCGATATGGCAGCTTGGACCGGCTCACGCCGGGTTTGGATGGCACATACTTTTGAAGCTACCGTCGACACAGGTACAACCCTTCTCTTTCTTCCTCCAGCTCTTGCGGGCTTGTACTGGAATGATGTACCAAACATGCGAGTCGATCCTCGACTTGGCGACGCCTTCACGTTTCCTTGCGAACTTGCAGATGAACTTCCGGATCTGATGCTCAAAGTGCCAGGCACAGAGCATGTTCTCAAGGTCCCTGGGCCGTACCTCAGCTACAGCCCTACCGACGGTGACCCAGATTATTGCTGGGGTGGCATGCAAAGTTCAGAAGACCTAGGAGGGGTAAGCATCATGGGCGATGTAGCTCTCAAGGCGTTATACGTCGCATTCGATCTCGAGAAGAACAAGGTCGGGTTTGCCAACAAAGAGCTCGACGACATCGACAACTGAATAGGGTGCATTTGATTGCCTGTTTGCTGAAGCATATGGGGATGTAAGACTGAAGTTATCCGACATGGTATTATAACATCAAAGAACTAGAGTCAGCCATATGCAAACAATTCGGGACAGAATCGGGGCTTGGCAGCGGGCGACATTATTCATGTAACGAGATAAAAGAATACTCGTGTATTTCCACCTGACTGGGAAAGATACATATAACCTCATTATGTTGGTCGTGAATCAAGTTGATTGTAGTTCTGATGCACTTGCAATCAATTGACGTGCCATCCATCCAAATACGTCCCATTCCTTCCCTTCCTATCCCGTCCAATCCAACCCACGCAGTCGTACAATCCACCATGCTTGGACCATGTCCTAATACAACGTGGACGTTATCCTCCTATAAACATGCAGTAGCCTGACGCAACTGTAGAAGCGAGAGGATGAATATGATATAACGATAAAAAAAAAGATGTTGCAAATGCTGCCTCTATGAACGCCGGGAATCTTGGTAGCGAACGACAAAAATTGAGGGGTTGCTCGGGCAGGGGGTAGCGCTTTCGTTGCTCTTCCTGTTCCTAAGAAAGAAGTTCACCGATATACATTGTATAGATAAAATATAAAAGCCGAGTGCGTTTGAAGTTGGTGATGCGCCTCAGCTATAACTCGTGGCTTTCTTCCAAGTAAATCTGGGCCAGTGATCGAGGGGACCCGTCCGAGTCAGTCATGAAACATGGACCCCTAAAAATGGACGAATGTGGTGTGAATTGCGGTGTGGCCAAGGTTTCGCGGTTAGGTGGCTGCTGTGCTTCTCCGCACTCAAAAACGTCTACTAGCTCAGGGATGCTAATGGACACTTGCTTCTCTTACAAGAGACCGACCGGTGGGAATGAGACGTGATCCCCCCCTCAAAAAAAGAATTGAATGATTCATGAAGAGCGAGGTAGAGATAGTAACAAAAGAGTCAGGTTGCTTTATTCGTGATCTCCGTCTTTAAAAGTCAAAAAATATTCGTCAGCGCGGGCCGTCTTGCAAGTCATCGCGGGTGACGACGTAGTATTCACCTTCACTGGCACCCGGGGTCGGGGGCATGTTGCCTGACGAGGGAGCTTGCTGGGAAGCGCGGGCAGTTCCCGGTCGTGAGCGAGCCTTGGAGTCGTCCTTGGGGGCGTCGAGGGAGCTGTGCTGCTGAGCCTGTGTCTGAGCCTGATTGGCGGTCTGCGTCTGAGGCAGTGGAGATCGTGACTGAGAACCGCCTGCGGAGCGGCGAAGACGGTCTTCCATTTCGCGAATGCGCGCTTCAAGAGCGGCGAGCTCTTCGGCGTTCTTGTCGACGGTTTGTTTCCTATTGAAGAGGGTGAAGAAACGCGGTTAGATGCATGATTCGACACATGTCAAATGGTGAATAAGTGGTAGACCAACTTATCGTGGACTTGCTGATCCAGGTCGGTCAGAGAGTTTTCGATGCGGAATATGTCCATCAGCTCTGCGCTAAATGAGCGGGCGATGGTTCTGTACGAGAAATGCATGTTAGAGATGTGTTCGCGACAGCACTGGTTTTGCAGACGACACGGCGAGCGTCTTCAATGGACAAAGCAAAAGCAGGTATAGGGGATACGGACGATTGAGGGCGACGGCCGTTGGGCTGCCAGTCGCGGTCGAGCTCCTCATCGGTGAGAGTCATGTTGAGTGAATTGATAGATGGTAAGGGCTAGAAAATTGCAGATTATTGGTGATGCAAGTGTATATTCACAGTTAAAATGCGCAAAGAAATGAGTAATGGAGGAATCGCAAGTTAAGTTGGATTAGGAGGGAGGAGAGATGGAAGATGAGATGAGAGCTCAGCTTTCAAGACAAAGATGAAGGCAGGCACTTGGACGGTAATTAATGGAAGTTTCCAAGGGACGGGTTCTACCTTTTTGGAGCTAGACAAGTACCTAGCTCTTTTTCTCCCTTTTGCCCCACAAGATCATCTACCTACAGTGCTCCGTACTCACTCCCGACCCGACACACCTAGACGGGCACCCACGCGCACAGCTCAGCCAGCGCCTGTCTTAGGGGGGGAAAGACTGGAAGATTGGCCCTGGGGGCCTGGAAGTGGAGGGGTCAGCTACCTAGGGCAGAAAAGTCCCCTGGAATTAGCTCCTTTTAGGGGCGGGGTGGGGTGCACTAGCAAGTACCAGGGTGTGCATAAGATCCAATGGAAGTCCCTTCGGAAGCCTCCAGCTCCAAAGGACAGCCTTTTTTTTTTTTTTACCACGGATGCGGAAGATCAAAGGAAAAGTCAATGTTGAAA